CAAGTACTTGGATGGGAGACCTCCAAGGAATACCAGCAGTCGGGAGGCGGGGGCAGGCTTTATTCAGCCACCTCTCTGAATATCCTCCAGGCCGCAGTGGGGGTCAGTCACCAGAGGTCGCCATGACTCCCAGGTGCATGTGCGAGCACACACACACACACGTACAAAAAAAAAAGTGTTGGAGCGCCTTGACCCAGAGATCCCTGGGAAGCCCAATCTTATCAGACCCCCAAGGAAGTCCAGGGTTGCTACGCAGAGGCAGGCAATGGCGAACCACCTCTGTTTGTCTCTTGTCTTGAAAACCCTACATGGACCCGACGTCAGCTGTGACTTGCCAGCACTTTCCACCACCAATACCTTCCATGACTAAAGCAACTAAACCGTCTAAAGTGGCGAACAGCCTTACCTACCTTCCCTCCTCTTCTTCAGGACAGATAATTAATTTTGAAGGTGGGGAGCGGGAGAGAAAGAGGTTTTAAGGCATGGGAAAAGGCAACCCTGAAGTTTCACAAGATGTGGTATCAGAGGTACTGGGCAGGTGAGATTGGGTTCGACCCCATAAAACAGATTTCTTACTGCACCAAGAGCTACTCCTGGGACAGAAACCTGGTAATGGCCGTTCTTCCCGTCAGCATGAGTGTTAACTACAGCGCTGGACCTAAGAGACGCAGGTTCGAGTCCCTCCTCTGGCCTTCTCACCTTCACCTACTTCACAGGACCATGCTCACAGCCTGGTAAATCCTTTGTGCAACTTGGGATCAGTTTTGCATCATACAGTCTAATCAGATCTGCGTCACTCCTCCATTCTGCCTTTTTGATTTTACAAATGGTTCTAGACATGAGACAGAAATGGAGCCTGCATGTTCAGAGGCAGTGTGCCTCTGCAGTGTTCCCTCTAAGCTTAGTTCGTGTGAGCCTAGCTCAGTTTTTTTCGCCTCCAGCTCACACATTTTTGTCTTGGCTCAGGAAGGATGGCTCCAGAGCAAACTAATTTACGCAGCAGCCAAATTGCTGGCTCACAACTTTTAAGGCCAGTAGCTCGCCAGGTAGAATTTTTGCTCACAAGACTCCACAGCTTAGAGGGAGCATTGCCTCTGAGTACCTCTGGAGTTCTGGCCCTGCTGGTAGACCTCTTTTTGAGGGGTATTTTTATGTGCGGGTGTGCACACCTGGAAGTCATGGCGACCTCTGGTGACTGACCCCCACTGGGGGGCCTGGAGGATATTCAGAGAGTTGGCTGAAGAAAGCCTGCCCCCGCCTCCCAGCTGCTGGTATTCCTTGGAGGTCTCCCATCCAAGTACTTGCCGGAGTCGACCCTGCTTCGCTTCCGAGATTGGGCTTGCCTGGGCTATCCAGGGCAGGGCACTGGTAAACCTCCAGATGGCCCCTGGGTTTTGGCCGCTGTGTGACACAGTGTTGGACTGGATGAGCCACTGGCCTGATCCAAAATGGCTTCTCTCAACATTCTTATGTTGATGGAGGAGGAGGAGGAGAATTGGATTTATACCCCGCCCTTCATTCGGAGTCCCAGAGCGGCTCTCCTTTCTTTCCTCTCCCCAAAACAAACACCCTGTGAGGTAGGTGGGACTGAGAGAGCTTTGAGAGAACCGTGACCGGCCCAAGGTCTCCTAGCTGGCTGCATGTGAAGGAGTGGGGAATCAAACCCGGTTCTCCAGATTAGAATCTGCCCAAGACCTTGGAGAGCTGCTGCCCGCCTGTGTGTACAATACTGACCTTGGTGGACCCAAGGCTCTGATTCACTAGAAGGGAGATTTGTGTGTGAGTCAGTAAAAAGGTGGATTCGTGGGTGGACAAGAAAACTGTTTGGAATGTGACAGGAAACACAGAAGTGGGTCAGGAGAGAGAGGCGTTTCTCTTGGCCCCACCCTAATTGGGATAAGCCTCACACGTCGCCCTCAGTTTAGGAATCTTGGGAACTGCAGATCAAATGCCTTTTCTGAAGTGAAATCTGAACAGCCTCCCCCTCCCAACTGTGGATAGTACCCGTTCACAGTTGGGGGAACTGGAGGGAGAGACTGTGGCTCAGTGGCAGAGGACCTGCTTGGCACGCAGAAGGTCCCAGGTTCAGTCCCCGGCATCTCCAGTGAAAAAAGGACCGGGTAGGAGGTGATATGGAAGACCTCCGCCTAAGACCCTGGAGAGCGGCTGCCAGTCCGAGTGGTCAATCCTGACTTCAATGGACCCAGGGTCCAATGTTCCCTCTAAGCTGCAGAGCCTTGTGAGCAAAAATGCTACTTTGTGAGCTACCGGCATTGAAGTTGTGAGCGGGCGATTTGACTACTGCATAAATTAGTTGGCTCTGGAGCCCATCCTTCCTGAGCAAACACGAAAATGTGTGAGCCGGAGGCTAAAAACCTGTGAGCCAGCTCACACCAACTCAGCTTAGAGGGAACACTGCAAGGGTCTGATTCAGGACAAGGCAGCTTCATGCGTTCAGGTGAAGTGACCAAACACAACTGGAATCGCCATCACAAGTTTTAGTTTCCATCAATGTGGGGCCGGAGGCATCTGTTTAACGTATACTCCTTGTGAACTATATCCAGGGCTTTTTTTGTAGAAAAAGCCCAGCAGGAACTCATTAGCATAATAGGCCACACCCAACAACAGAAACTCATTAGCATATCCAGCCACACCCATAAGAGCATAGCTCATTAGCGTATTAGGCCGCACCCCCATGTTACCAGAAGTGTGCTCATCCAGCCACACCCACCTTTTGCTTCTTATTCTGTTTACTGTGTTTGTTGTCAAAACCCAGGGCCTGTTTTCGTAGCAGGAACTCCTTTGCATGTTAGGCCACACACCCCTACTGTAGCCAATTCTAATGAGTTTCTGCTGTTGGGTGTGGCCTATTATGCTAATGATTTCCTGCTGGGCGTGGCCAACTTGGGGGCCAGCCGGAACTCCGTTCCTGTGCGTTCTTGCCCAAAAATAGCCCTGCCTATATCTAACACTGCAGACAAGTACTACCCAAAAGCTACCCAGAGTTGCCACATGGGAGGTTTCAGTGTCTTTTGTTCCGAGATGGCCTAACTTGAAATGATGCCCCGTGGTTTTCTTCCCTCTGGAAAACGGCTTCCTTTTCGGGGGAAACCCGGCGTCGATCACCTCACACCGCCAGTCTGCATCTTCGTTGACTGCCTCAGGGACCGTGTAATTGTCTTACGGTGGAGTACACCCGAGTGTAATTTTACTGGACGATTGCCCTGTGGGTGTCACCCACCGTGGAAGGAACCTGGCTTCATGTGGGTTTCTACTTTTTGTGGTGACTTCCAGTTTCGATCCACACCAACAAATCTCTCAACAGTGGTAAACTCACGCACAACTTCCAACCACACCATGGGGGGGGGAGAGTGTCACATTATTGCGTGGTTCCCCGTTTTCGTTTAAAAACCCAATCTATGTACAGAAAATCAGCATGACAGAGAGAGCTAGACGAGAAGTGTTCACCCTGAAATCCACTTATCGCTATGGATATTTCTCTTGAGGTTTACCACCTCAGTCAGAAACAGGCCGAATAGGCAGAAATGCTGTGTCTCTAAGGCTGTGTTAATTTTAAAGGATATGGGGTTGAAACAATTCCTGAACAATTACACGTTGCTTCAAAAAGCAACTTTCTGTAGAGTTGACAACTCCGGGTTGGGAAATACCTGAAGATGATGGGAGTGGAGCCTGAGGAGGAGGAAGAGGAGGAGGAGGAGAGGAGATTGGATTTATACCCCGCCCTTCACTCGGAGTCTCAGAGCGGCTGACAAACTCCTCTCCCTTCCCATTCCCACAACAGACACCCTGTGAGGTAAAAGAAGAGATTGGATTTATACCCTGCCCTTCACTACCCAAAGGAGTCTCAGAGCGGCTTACAGTCTCCTTTCCCTTCCCCTCGCCTCCCCACAACAGACACCCTGTGAGGTAGGTGGGGCTGAGAGAGAGCTCTTTCGAGGACTGCTCTTGAGAGAACAGCTCTGAGAGAACTTGTGACTGACCCAAGGTAACACCAGCAGCTGCATGGGGAGGAGTGGAGTCAAACCCAGTTCTCCCAGATTTGAGTCCGCACTCCTAACCACAACAATGAACTGGCTCTTGAGGGACTTCAGTGGGGTCTAATGCCACAGAGCCATTTTCTCCAGGTGGAACTGATCTCTGTCATCTGGAGATCAGTTTTATTCCCAGGAGATCTTCAGCCATATGTAGCTCCACGGTATAGAGAGAAAGAATACCCCACTTAGACCCATATTACTCCAAAATTTCTGGAAGCCTGCGGTTCTTCCGTCAAATCCGCAGCAGATACTTCATGCCAGAATTTTTCAGTGCGTGTTGTGTTACTGCTGCCCTCGTTCTTCCAATATTGCCTCAAAACAGCCTGTTTCTGCTAAACCATCTCATCCGACACCATCTGTTTTCCTTGAGACGTCACCTTTCATAGCGAGGCCCCGTTCAGCTTTCAACACTAGTTTGCCGCTCGCCATTTTATTTCTTGTCCACGTCAGGTCCGCGTCAGAACAATCAAGGAGTGGTAGCTTGAGACAGACCTGTACCATCATATTCTTTTTAAAAAGCATTTTTTTCTCTTTTTTTGGCTAGCTGAATTTGCTTCGATCCACGCCGATTCAGTGTCGGCGAGATGGTGCGCTACGCTATTAGCACAACGTTAAGACTACAAATCCCATGCTGCAGTGCGGGGTTCCGCTCGGATGAAAACACAACAGTGGTACTGTCGCAATCCTATGCAAACTCACCTTGGGGTTAGCTCCACTGAACACAGTGGGCTTACTTCTAAGTAAACACATGCAGGATTAGCTAGCACGTGTTTATCTAAATGTTCCTACTGTAGTGGAGGTGGTCCGTTGGGGACCTGTGTTAGCACTCCCTTTCTGAGAAAAGTCTGGCAATTTGTAGGGGTTTTTTCCTCGCCCTCCTACGCACTAATCCGGGAGCCTCGAAAATAATCTTTATTAAGACTTAGTTATGCATGCATAACGCGGTACATTTAACTCATTGAGCAAAACCATCAGTTGGCTTAAACACTTGAGCCACATCCCCTTTCACCATAGAAATGTGGCAGACAAGAAAGGGTGCCGGATAACGCATTGACGACTCCAGATTGTACTTATCTTATGCTAAGTCAGTCCTAGGTTGGCCAGCTCCCAAGGTGCACTGATATTCTTGCGCATCAGAGGACACGCCGGCTCCTATCAACCGGGCTTCAAGGATAGACTGTCTTGTGCTTTCTTCGACGCCCAGAACCCCCGGAGTAGTTCTGTGTCCAACCAAGGCCATTTGGAATTCCATCTCTTCCCGGCGCCTGGGTGCACCGACTTCTTACGCCACAGGGGGGCGAAAGAGGTCCATCGTCTCCACCACCAAGGAGAGATGCTCCAGGAAAGAACTGATGGACACGCGCAGTATGCGGGCCTCTTCCGCTTTCCAGCGCCTGAAAGAAACGGATAAACGGCTAGGGTCGAAAACCTGCGCACCGAAGTCTCCCGCATCGTAACGGGATGCCCCCCAACGCCACACGCTTCAGTCGCTGTTCCGTTCCCCTTCTCCAATTTATGCTGCTAGTTAGCCAGGGCTCCCAACTCTGACCCTGCAGCATCTCTGTTATCCTCAGCGGGAGCCAGTGTTCCCTCCAAGCTGAGTTAGTGTGAGCCAGCTCACAGTTTTTTAGCCTCCGGCTCACACATTTTTGCCTTAGCTCGGGAAGTTTGGCTTCAAGGGCAAACTAATCGCTGCAGTCGCCCAATCGCTCGCTCGCTCACAACTTGAATGCCGGTAGCTCATCAAGTAGAAGTTTTGCTCAAAAGACTCCACAGCTTAGAGGGAGAATTGGCGGGAAACCGCTCCCCCAGCCCCCCTTCAACCAATTTGGGTAAAGGTTTCCCTTGACTGAAAGCCAGTCGAATCCGACTCTAGGGGTGCAGTGCTCCCGTTTCCAAGCCGAAGAGCCAGCACTGTCCAAAGACGTTTCCATGGTCATGTGGCCAGCATGACTAGATGCTGAGGTGCACGGAATGCTTTTACCTTCCCACCGAAGTGGTACCTCTTTATCTACTTGCAGTTTCTTGCTTTTGAACTGCTACCGTGTTTCCCCGAAAATAATAGGTCTCTTTTAATCAGAGAGCCCGCGCCGCCGCCAGGACAAGCTGCCGCCTGCTGCTCGCTCTGCCCTGACGGAGTGTACCGTATTCTTCTTCATGGAAAAATGACATCCCCTGAAAATAAGACCTAGCGCATCTTTGGGAGCAAAAATTAATATAAGACACTGTCATATTTTCGGGGAAACACGGTTAAGTTGGCAGGAGCTGGGGCCAGAGACGGGAGTTCACTCCGTCACACGGCATTCGAGTCTCGAACTGCCAATCTTCCGGTCTGCAGTTCGGCATCTTAAGCACTTGACCACCGCAACCCTTCGACCAACTGAGGGAACTAGAAAAGCAAAGCCGGCTTTGTAGCCATTTTGGATGCCCTGTGCAGAAAATTCCAAATCGCGTCTTCTCCCTCTTGACAATTAGCATTAGACATATCCATCGACAAGCCTCTCCCCAAAACAAAAAGGAGCTTGTTCAGGGGAACTTCCCAAAGCTCTGCCCACCAGCAGCCCCCCCCCCAACCTCCCTTCTGTGAAGGGGCACACGATACTCACACATGCAAAACGTTCTCGGTCACATCCAGTTCCTTGCTGATTCCTCCTTTGCGGGGCTCAGGATCCGGGGCCAGAGAACCCAGCGCGATCCGGGCTAGCGGCGACGACGGGAAAGGGATGCTGAGCTCACTAGCGTTGGGGGCAGTCATAAGGAACGTAAAAAGTACCAAGAGGGCAGGTAAAAGCTCTCCCACCCGTCTACTTTTTTGACAACCTAGACGCGGACAGGGAACCCCAACATGGCGCCCACGGGCACCTTTCCCAGTGCCCTCAAAGCGCTTTTAGAAAGTTGGTGGGACGAAACAGGGCTTTCAGGAAGTGGGTGGGACAAATCTAATCCCCTTCTAAAGCTTTTTGCTCCTGCGGGCATCGCTACATTCTCGGGCAGCGAATTCTACATTTTAATCACATTGGGCTTGTTTGTTTATTCATTCAACTCGTACCCAGCCCTTCCCACAGGAGAGCTAGGGGGAGGTCACAATAAATGCTATTGCAGTCTGAAACGATTCAATAAATAGATACCAAATATAGAATTAATACAATAAAACCGGCTAAAAGTTAAAATGGGCAGTGCAGCAGATTTCCATTTCAGTTCCTACAGCCAGGGATGACTGGGCCAAAGCCGAGAGCCAGTTTGGTGCAGTGGTTAAGTGCCCAGACTCTAATCTGGGAGAACCGGGTTTGATTCCCCACTCCTCCACTTGCAGCTGCTGGTGTAACCTTGGGTCAGTCACAAGTTCTTTCAGAGCTGTTCTCGAAAAAGAGCTGTTTCTGTCAGAGCTCTCTCAGCCCCGCCTACCTCACAGGTTGTCTGTTGTGGGGAGGGGAAGGGAAAGGAGTCTATAAGCCGCTCTGAGGCTCCTCTGGGTAGTGAAGGGCGGGGTATGAATCCAATCTCCTCCTCCTCCTCCTCCTCTCCTAAAGGTCTAGTTAATAGTAGCCTACGGCCACAGCAACAGGCGGGCTCTGGGAGGAGAGCACGTTCAGCTGATCTCGGCCAGACTACTTAGCACGGAGGTGGTCCTTCAAATGCCATATCCTGTGGCCCAGGGGTCCCTAACCCTTTCTGGGCCTGGGGCCCCCTCTGGAATTAAACATAAGAACATAAGAGAAACCATGTTGGATCAGGCCAATGGCCCATGCAGTCCAACACTCCGTGTCACACAGCGGCCAAAAATACCAGGTGCCACCAGGAGGTCCACCAGTGGGGCCAGACCAAGAGTTCCTATCTATAGGTTTAAAGGTAAAGGGGTTTCCCTTGCTCGAAAGCCAGTCGGAACCGACTCTAGGAGTGCAGTCCTCATCTCCGTTTCCAAGCCGAAGAGCCAGCACTGTCCGAAGACGTTTCCGAGGTCATGTGGCCAGCATGACTAGACGCCGAGGCGCACGGAACGCTGTTACCTTCCCACGGAAGCGGTACCTATTTATCTACCTGCAAGTTCTGGCATTCGAACTGCTAGGTTGGTAGAAGCTGGGGCCAGAGACGGGAGCTCACTCCGTCACGTGGCACTTGGCGACCTTCCAGTCTGCAGCTCAGCGTCTTAACCACTGAGCCACCTATCTATACCTTGTGGCTAATAGCCACTGTGGTCTGACAGAGTGTGGCTGGTAGGGCTGTTGCCAGGTACCCCCTGGTCATTGGCAGGGGCGGTGGGTAGAGTTGCCAGACCAAAGTTGGGAAACTCCTGGAGATTTGGGGGTGGAGCCTGGGGGGGACACGGACCTCATTGGGTCCCTCCAAAGCAGCCATTTCCTACAGGGGAACTGATCTCTGTGGTATGGAGATGAGCTGTAATCCCGGGGGATCCCCAGGCCCCACCTGGAGACTGGCATCCCTAGTGGTGGGCACAGTCACCAAATGGCTGCTGCAAGGTAAAGGTTCCCTTGCTCGAAAGCCAGTTGAGTCCGACTCTAGGGTTGCGGTGCTCATCTCCGTTTCAAAGCCGAAGAGCCAGCGCTGTCCGAAGACGTTTCCGTGGTCATGTGGCCGGCATGACGGCGAGGCGCACGGAATGCTGTTACCTTCCCACCGAAGTGGTACCTATTTATCTACTTGCAATGTCTTGCTTTTGAACGGCTAGGTTGGCAGGAGCTGGAACTAAGGACGGGAGCTCACTCCGTCATGCGGCACACTCGGGTCTCGAACTGCTGAACTACTGACCTTCCGCAGCCTGCAGTTCAGCGTCTTAGCCACTTGAGCCACCGCTGCTGCAAGAGATGGCCACAAAATGGGTATTATTGCAGCTTGTCTTCGATCAGCAAAGCTCCTTATAAGGAGCTGACAGCGGCTACCAAAATAACATTTTAAAAAATCTGCATAGCCAATCAAATCTCCAAAGGCCAATCAGGAGCCTTGCTGGGCAAAAGCCCCACCTACTTCCTAAGAACACTTGGCAGGCCCCATGAAAGGTGTTGGCAGGCGCCCCTGCGCCCCTGGGTACCACGTTGGAGACCTCTGCCCCAGCCGCCGAGAGCTTGAAAATTCTAAACCACCACTTTGAATCGGCTGCTTACAAAAGATGTATTCCCATTCACACAGAAACAGGGCCTCTGCGTTTTTAAAGTGTGTCAAGCGAGGCTTTTGGGAGCCCAAGCCGAGTTGCAGGGCTGAGCGCCCGCTTGGGAACCCAGGGTGCCCTAAGACCCAGGAGCCCCGGGTGCACACCCACACAGCATGGTGAAACGCACTCATTACTGCTGACCCAATCGTGCTGTTGCTCAACCTAGCCTACCTCGCAGGGGTATTAGGTAGAGGTAAAGGTTCCCTTGCTCGAAAGCCAGTCGAATCCGACTCTAGGGTCGCGGTGCTCATCTCCGTTTCAAAGCCGAAGAGCCAGCACTGTCCGAAGACCTTTCCGTGGTCATGTGGCCGGCATGACTAAACACCAAGGCGCACGGAACGCTGTTCCCTTCCCACCGAAGTGGTACCTATTTATCTACTTTTGCAATTTCTTGCTTTCGAACTGCTAGGTTGGCAGGAGCTGGAACTAGAGACGGGGGCTCACTCCGTCATGCGGCACACTCGGGTCTCAAACTGCTGAACTACCGACCTTCCACAGCCTGCAGTTCAGCGTCTATTGCAAGGATACAAAAGAGGAGGGAGGAAATCAGGAAAGCCCTCTTGGGAGGAAAGATGGGGTACAGGCAGATCTCCCGGTTATCTGGCCCCCTCTTGTACCCCACCCGCAGAGACAGCTCTGTTTTTGGGAAGCCACCTTGGGTTAAGAAAGCCAGTGCCCCAGCCCCTTAAGAGGAAGGGGATATACGGTTGCCAATCTCCAGGGGAGCCATGGTGTTCTCCAGACTACCCAGAAGTTTCCCGGGAGAAAAAGACGGCTTGGAAGCAGTGTTCCCTCTAAGCTGAGTTGTGTAAACTAGCTCCCAGTTTTTTAGCCTCTAGCTCACACTAGGGTTGCCAGGTCTGGGTTGGAAAATACATGGAGACTTTGGGTGTGGGTCCGGGAGAGGGCGGGGTTTGGGGAGGGGCCTCAACATGGTACGATGCCATAGAGTCCACCCTCCAAAGCAGCCATTTTCTCCAGGGGAGCTGATCTCTCTCAGCTGGAGATCAGTTGTAAAAGCGGGAGATCCCCAGGCCCCGCCTGGAGGCTGGCAACCCTGGCTCAGGAAGGAGGGCTCCAGAGAAGACTAATCGATGCAGGAGCCAAATCGCTCGCTCACAAGTCCAGTGTTCCCTCTAAGCTGAGTTAGTGTGAGCTAGCTCACAGGTTTTTAGCCTCCGGCTCACACATTTTTGCCTCAGCTCAGGAAGGAAGGCTCCAGAGCAAACTGATTTATGCAGCAGCCAAATTGATTGCTCACAGCTTTAATGCCAGTAGCTCACAAAGTAGAATTTTTGCTCACAACAGCTTAGAGGGAACATCGCAACGTTAATGCCAGGAGCTCACAAAAGTAGACTTTTTGCTCACAAGACTCCACCTCTTAGAGGGAGCATTGCCACCACCCCCTGTATATAGAGGGCAGTGGCATTGCTCGGAAGAGGTGGCTGTATGGCGTACCACGGAGTCCGGGAGAAATGCGAGTCCTAGAGTGACCTCCCACCCCAGCGGAGCTCCTCCCCCC